TCCCCCCTGGCACCCTGGCAGAGCCGGCCTGCCACTTGGGAGTGGAAGGCTGTGATTTCTGGTCCTGCCTCCAGGGCTTATGGTGGACAGGGTGACAAACCTGACCCCAACCCCCAGCGCTCCAGCCCTGGCCGGTGCCTGCACAGGGAAGGGTCCCCAAACCCCAGACTATACACAGCCACTCGGGGCACGCACACACAAGTGAGACACGGATTACACACAGCTGCTCGGGGCAAGCGCACCCAATTGAGACACAGGGATTTTACACACAGCTGCTCGGGGCACGCGCGCACAAGTGAGACACACAGAGTACACACAGCCGCTCAGGGCACGCACACACAAGTGAGACACACACACAGCACAAACTCACACAGCCCGCACACCCCAGGGGCCACCCAGCAGGCTCCCGGCACTGCCCTGGGCACGGCCGCCCTCACCCCCCAGTGCACACGCACCTTCACGGAGTAGGCGAACGCGATGAAGCCCAGGCAGAACCAGTTCATGAAGAGGGTGTTGAACAGGGACCAGACCACGTGGTCGGGCACCGTGGTCTCGTTGTGGATGTTGACCACGGTGGACGTCACGGCAGTGGAGGTTTGGGGTGGCCCCAGCATGGACACCTCGTGCTCCTCTTTGATCATGTCCTGGCTTTGGGAGAAGCAGGTGTGAGTGAAGGCTGGGGAAGTGTGGCTCATGGCGCAGCCTCGACCGGCAGTGGGGTCCGGATGCTGGGAGGGCGCTCAGTGGGCCTCCCCTTCCCCCTGCAGTTTCTATTTCTCAGAAGTTACTGTTTCCTGGTGTTTTCATGTTGCTGAAATGGGTGGGGACTCAGGAGGGTGGAAGGAAGGACTGAGCGTCAGGTTACACAGGAGCAGATGGGAGGACTGGCCCAGGGCTCAGGGGCTTCCTGTCCAGGAGCCCAAGGCAGGCTGGTCCTAACACACCCCAGCTGAGCCCACCTGCCCCTTAGGTGTGCGGATGGGACCAGTTTGTGTCTCCCCCACCCTGGCCAACAGACGCGAAGTCACACTGTCCCCGTTCAGGGCCTTGTGCATCCCCGCACTGCAGCCCCCAGCCCCCAGCCCACCTGCCCCAGGCCTCCCCTGCTGAAGTCCCTTGCCCTTTGCTGGGGCTGAAGTCTCTGGTCGGGGCGGTGCTCAGGGGGCCTCAACCTGGCTGTGTCTCCTGCTTGCTGGGCAGAGGCCAGCCGCCCATGCGACCTGCCCCACAGGAGCCTTCCAGACCCAAGGACGGGGCTTTGGGGTTTGGTGGAATGGTGAAGCAGCTGTGGAGAATTAGGGTTGATTCCAGTTTCAGAGCACGAAACTGATGTGGTTTTTATTTTTATTTTTTTCAATTATTTTTGTAGTTTGCTATGGGGCACATGCCCTGCGGCAGCGAGAGGAGAAAACACTCTCCTAAGGGAGACTGCCGTGCCAGAATTCCTTCTCTTCCACTCTCCTCTGGGGGTTTTGGGCACGCAAACACATGCACCCACTTCTTTTTTTTTTTTTTTTAACTTTTATTTTCAAGTTTTGGTTACGGTTTAAACTTTATTTTCAAATTTTGGTTACAGTTTCATTTTTTTTTTCTTAACAAGTCTACTGTTTAATCTCTCAGGATTAAAAAAAAAAAAAAAAAAACAGACTCTAAAGAATTGAACAACAAAGGAATTGTCAAGGGAAGGGTACAACGGCCCCGTTCTCAGGGGTGTAATAGCTATTCCAGTTTAATACCTAGCTTCAAAACAAAATGAATTTTTATATTTTCTAATGAAATAATGTACAACCACCATCTTCATCCGAGCTCATTATAATTTTCAAACACAAAGCTTCATCTTAAGCTTGGCAAAAAGCTTAACAGGAATGATGGCCAACCTTAGCACGTAGTGTGTACGGTACATGACATTTGTTACCAATCATAACACAGTAATAATGCCATTAATAATGAAGTCCTCGATTCAGAATCTGGAACATTCTTCCATCAGGGGGAGGGGGAAATTCAGTCCAGTGAGTCTATCTCAAGATGTTCGTCTCTTGTGTGCTCCACTTGTACTCTCTTTTCAGTAACTGGATTAATGCTTCGAGCCCAAAATGAGATGTATTTTTATTACTGTAGAGTACATGCTGTTTGTGCACCCACCTCCTTAGCAGAGCCACTGATCGGACTTGAACTACACTTCAGTCACGTGGGATCCAGTGCCTTAACTCCATGCCACTGGCTGGCCTGGGATGTTTCTCATGCCAGTTGTGAAACACGGCAGTTGTTAAGATGGAATCTTATCAGATCACAGTGACATAGGAAACTCCTACATTCATTCCTCTCCAAAGCAGGGAGGAAAGTGGCTAAAGCTATTAGTTTGAAATTTAATTTATTTTCATTGTGGTTAAGTATCCATGACATAAAAGGTATCATTTTAACCCTTTTTACCCCCAAGCCAAACTGTGTCCAGCTTTATTAAAGACACTTCTCATAAACAATCATGGTATTTCAGGCAGGACGTGGGCAGGCGATCATTAACAGAATACAACGACTTTCAAACTCCCTCCTTCAATGGACTACAGAATCAGAAAGCCGTTATAAAACCCAGTGGAGTCTTCATCTGAAGCTCTGAACAGGGAAAGCTCAGAGTGAGGGTTGACATTTCACATTGAGCATGTTGTTTAACAACTTTTCACGAGCCGACCCTGACTTTCGGGAAATGAAATGGCAGAATATCAACCTGAAGACGCAACAATACAGAAAAGGAACGGCTGCTCCTTAGAAGGACGCCCTCTCAGTGTCATTGGGAAGTCCGGATTGCCTGATATCCTGCCATAACCAGTTCTCTGTGGTCAGGTGCCCACAGGTCTCTGGAGTAAGGGAGCTCAGTCTGCTGCAGGCAGAGAGGGAGGACATGAAAGCAAATGTTGAGTGCTCCACACCACACGGCGCCTGTGCCAAGGCGGAGGTGTGTCAGGGAACCCCTCCTCTCGGGAGCCAAGAGGAAGTCTCTCAACACTAGAAGGGGAAGATGTTGTCCGAATCAATCCAGCTTCAGGGACATTCTATTAGTGACAAATGCCCCTTCCCCAAAAACAACCGTGAAGTGTTCTATGTGCTAACAACATAGCTTAAAAAAGAAGTATAACAAAATTCTGCATTTGTATAAAACTTGATAAAAAAATAGTATTTCGAACTGTGCCGTGACCAGGACAGAGTTATCACAAACGCACACCTCACTCGGCATCTCCAGCACCTGCAGCTTCCTGTGCCTGGTCTGTGCTGGCATCTCCGTTTCCTGCAGGGTTACCCCATCCTCACCAGCATCAGCTTTGCCCTTTTCCTGTGGGCACCTTCTCTCCCTTCTTTCGGGGCCTTTTTAGGCTTGGGCTCTGGCTGTGGAGGAGCAGGGTTAGCAGACAGCCTTGCACCTCTTTCCTGTGGTCCGCCCTTCACCTCGGCTGTACCCCCTTCAGCCTCCCCTTCAGCCTTCCTCTTGGGCATGGTGGCCAGGACGGCGGGATGCAGGCGCCGGACGGGGGGTGCAGCGGCGCAGGCTTTGGTGGGTCCGGGGTCGCTCTCGCCTCCTCTTCACACTGCTCCTACTGTAACCATTTCGAAGTGTTTAATTCTGTGGCTTTACGTGGAAGGTCTTTATCCAGAGTTCAGCTGCGAGGGGATCAGAGAACAGCAGGCTGACGGAGACTGCTGGTTGCCGTTCACCTCCTGCTGTCCGCACCTGGGCCTTTACCACTACCTCCGAATGCCAGAGGACCCGGGGGCCACAGGCTCCTGGCCATCAGCCTGAGGTCTCCACCACGAGCCAGGACCTGCTGTGGGCTTCAGGACTGCCAGGGTGAAAAGCAAGCTCAGGCCAAGGCCACATTATATGCTAGGGTGAAAATGCATGTCATGGCGTTGAGACCACGTGGGTTCAGCCCGAGCCCACGGAAGAGAACGCAGAGGCCTGCCTCACAGCGAGGTCCATGGAGCACGGGAACTGCCCCACTGTGGGCAGCACAGGAACTGCCCCACTGCGGGCAGCACGGATCCCGTTCCAAGCCCTGCAGAGCCCGCAGAGACAGACAGCGTGCCCGTGCCCTCCCCGCCATTACTGACGCTGCCATCCGGGCCGCAAAAGCTCGGACATGCGGCTCTCCAGTCCCCACCCCGTCCCTTCTTTGTGTGGGGCCTAGACCCCATCTGCAGGCTGGCTGGAGCTCCCCCACCCCGCAAGGTCGGGTTCAGTGCAATGCTGACCTCGGTGTAAAACCCCACAGCGCGAGTCCTCCCTGCGCTGAATTCCCCCAGGCTGCTGTGTGGCCTGGCTCTGGGAGGGCGGCGTGAGGCGGGCAGGAGAGCCCACGGACGTGTCTGCCGCATCCAGACAGCGCTAATGCTTGTCCTCGGCCGTGCCGGTCCTGACATGTCCCGAGGTACCCACAGCTGCCCCGCCCGTGTGCCACGCTATGGCGGTGCCTGGCTCTGCCACCGAGGTCGTTCCAAGGCCTCGGTGCTTTTCCTACTGACACGCATCACAGGAATTCATTCTACAGGAGTTTTTCCGTCAACTTAGAATCACTCTCTGTGCTTGTCAGGGCTGACAGATGGGGAGAAGGAAAAGGAAACCCCCAACTCCATCTGGCCCTTGGTGTCCAGCACGTCACATGGCAAAACTCCTGGTTTAGAAGAGCCTTGCCTTCTCTAGCCCCAGGGTTTCCTCTCTGACTGGTTATCGACCACACTTCTAGAATCCAAACTTCTGCTGTAAAGAACCGGGAGTTGGAGCCCACGGAGTATGCCCGCAGGTGGGAGGCAGACACGGGCCGACCGTCTCCTCCGGACAGCAGGAAGCAAGTCCAGCAGCTCCAGCTGGTGCTCGGGGCCCACCCGTGTGGAGAACTGGCCAGGTGCTGCTGAGCCTGAGGGGCCCGGCCAGGTGGCGCAGACCCCCAGTCCTGTGGGAATGCGCAGCGAAGAACGGGCACCCTGGGAAAGGAGCTATCTAGAGGGGACTGCACCAGGAAGTGACAGTTGTTGACACAGGTTGACACAGGAAATGACAGGGCCATTTCTAGTGACAAAAAGGCAAGAGAGGCAGGTGCCCAGGCACTAGAGTAGCATGAGTGGGCAGTTGGCCCAAGCCTCATCCTCTGCGACTAGACGCGGACACAGCTCTGCACTCTGGACTTTGGATCTGGCTACAGGACATTCTGTGGCAATGGAAAATCCATCAACGTGCAGTACGCAGGGTCCAGAAACGATTTTCTATATGGGGAGGGAGGCCTGTCCCTAGCCAGCTGCACCCCTGAGGCAAGCCCCCAGAACTCAGCCACTCCTTTGTCACCATTTCAGGTCATTTAAACATGTCACTGCATTTTCTATGACCAGAGTGGGATCAAACTTGATCATAACGAAAGCCAACAGGCCAGCCAGTGGCATAGTGGTCAAGGTGGCTGGATCCCACGTGGCCTACTGAGCCTGGACCTGGCAGCTTGCAAAACATGCCAGCGAATGTGGCCAGCAGGTGGTGTGGTGGTTAAAGGCGCTGGACTCCCACATGGCCAACCATGGTTTGAGTCCCGGACCTGGCAGCTGCTTTCTCACTTAACCTCTCTCACTCTGTCCCTCTCTAGTCAAATTAAAATAAATGAATACATAAATAAAGTTAGATAAAATAATTCTTAAGAAAAGAAAAACTTGCCAGTGCATATGCGTACATGCCCAAGATCTTGAAAGGAGAATGTAGGAGAAGGAATTGAAGCGTGGCCATTCCCCCTGGGCTGATTTCTCATTTTCCTTCTCTGTCTCTGG